GCAAATCCTTGTTTTCCCGGTGAAGAGGCCAGACCACCCCCCTGAGCATCCGACACCCAGTGCCAGGTCCTCGGCTCCAGCTCTCCCAGGATCCTGGGAGAGAAGGAAGTCAGCATCGCTGTCACCCTCCAGGCCCTGCCACTGCAGCCTCACATCCACGGTCGCCTGGTGCAGAGCCACCGCGCGCCTCGGCGCCCTTTAGTGTTTGGTCGGGGGCGGCGGGCCTTCCGGGGCTGGAGCTGAAGCCCAGCAGGCGGTTCTGTGAGAGCCACCACCAGCGGCTCAGCACTTGTCCCCGATGGTCGTCATGGAATGGCCAGGCAGGGGCGACCATGCTCGTTCCAAGATAAGGAATCGGAGGCCCGAGAGGGACCACCAGCCTGCAGCTGGTCCCAGCGGGTCTGTGGGACCAGAGCTCGTGCCCTTTCCGTCATCCCCTCGTGGGACAGAAGTGGCCATGACTCTGGGTGGTGTGGCACCGGGACAGCGGCATATCTGCATCATGTCTAATGCCAGGTGTCCAAATGGGTGCTCCTCTTCTGCCCTTCCCGCCCCTCCTCTGACCCTCCCACCCCATTGTAAATATCAGACTGAAGGCTACCTCACCCCCTCCCCCCACGCCCAGGCAAACATCAAAAAGCAAAAGTGTGGGAGTCCCTTTCACTTGGCCAATGTTTCAGGGCCCAGCCGTGTCCTGGCAGGTGGCAGGATTTTGTGGCTGAGTGAGGTAACAGTGGACGGGTGGCTTGACCACACTTTATTTATCTATGTGTTGGTTGGTGGGCATTGGTTTCTATTTCGGGACCATTATGGAGCTGGGCTGGCCCGTAGGCTTTCCAATACCGTGCTTCCCCGTCAGGAGGGACAGTTGATGACATTCACAAAGACCCCCGGAGCGTCCGCCAGGCTGGGACCTCTGACAGAGAACTGTCGCCCCCCAGCTGTTCCCAGGCCCGGGTGAGTGACTTCAGGGCCAAATTCACCAGGAGGCTTTATTTTCTGTTGATCAGTAGGCATGGGGCTCCTATTTTTTTTTTTTTAATCTGAAACTTTTTATTACAAACATTTCAAAACCAAGAAAAATATAATGACAGCCCGGCCCATGCTGTAACAAATCACAGTACTTCGTTGAAGTATGTATTTTAAGAAATAAGCTTTGTTGTCTCGTCCTCTGCCTCCCCACGATCCATAGTCCTGGGCAAACCCGAGTCTGGCCTCTGTGCCTGCAGCCCGCCCCGAGGGGGGGCAGGGGATGGGACTGCACTAGGCCTCCTGAGTGTCAGCAGAGATTTTAGGCGGAGCCCAGACAAGGCAACACAGAGCGCTGGCTTCCATGGAAAAGCCCGGAAACACGGAGGAGAAAGAAGCTGTGCAGCACTCGCGCAGAGAAAGCACTCTTTCATTCATTCATTCATTCATTCAGCCAGTCAGTCAGTCAGCCAAAATGTGCACCGAGCCTCCTGCCGCTGGCACAATGTTCTGACGGCATCTCTTGGTGGGCTGCACCCTTCCCGGCTCCTCTCTCCTCCTGGAGCTCCTGGGGTGTCTGCCTTTGTTCACTGGGGATCCCCATGTCTGCATGCTGCCTGGATGGCAGAACTCCCCTCCCGCCCGCTCACAGTCCTTTCTAACAGGCAGAGCGCAGAGGGGACTCCCCCAGGCTGCACCGGGGTCCTGGTCCTTCCCGTTGGCAACAGGGACTGCATTTCTGTAGCTGGTGATGGTTCCTTTTAAAACACTTTTAAGTGCAATGAGTTTGTTAAAAGAAAATCCCCAAGTCAGGGGCAGTGCCAGTGGGAGGAGGGAAGGCCAAGAAGCTGAGGGTGGTGAGCAAGGGGCAGAGAGCGGGAGCCATGGTGCCCCTTCCTTCTCTCCTCCTGCAGATGCCCTGCGCTGCCCTCTGCCCGAGGGCCCCCTCTGCACCTGTGCTGGCAGGGCAGCCAGAAGCCTCCTCAGGTGGCTGTGGGGGCTGGTCTTGTGAGGTGGGGGTTCGGAGACCTGCCTGGGCCAGGTCTCAACATAGCTGGGAGCTCTGGCCCGGGACTGCCCGAGGACCCCCAGGGACAGACCCCAGACGGACAGTATCCCTGCCCTCTCACGTCCTGGCTTGGACCTGGGCAGGTGTCCTCGGCTCTCAGGGGGGCACCACAGCTCCCAGGGCCTGCGGGGGCCTTTTATCTGGGGCTGAAGCGCTTGGCCCGAGGCCGACCGTCCAGCTTCTGATGTGGATAAAAGTGGAGGATCCGCCTGCTGGTTTCTCTCTCACTGTACTCACTGCCAACTGTCGTTAAATGCTGTGTCGGCATCTCTTGGTGCGCTGCACCCTTGCCTGCTCCTCTCTCCTCCTGGAACCCCCTGGGGTCTCTGCCTTTGTTCACGGGGACCCCCCTGCCTGGGTGGTGCCAGCGGCAGGAGGCTGGTGCACATTTTGGCTGACTGACTGACTGGGCGCTTTCTCTGCGCGGCTGCTGCCGAGCTCCGTGCTGTGGACGGTGCCCACGTTACCCCCACATCGGGCCTGTCTCGGGCCCTTGGGTGGGTTTCATGCGACACTCCAGGCCGCTCCCTCAGGCTGTGCCCCTCTTCAGAGGCTGGCCAGTAGGAAGGAGCCATTCCTGTCCTTGGGTCATCTGAGGGGCTGACACAGGAACACTGCACACACCTCAGCATATAGGTTAGAACACAGCTCAGCACACAGCTCAGCACACAGCTCAGCACACACCTCAGCACACACTTCAATACACACCTCAGCACACAGCTTAGCACACACCTCAGCACACAGCTCAGCACACAGCTCAGCACAAAGCACACACCTCAGCACACACCTCAGCACACAGCTCAGCACACAGCTCAGCACACAGCTCAGCACACACCTCAGCACACAGCTCAGCACACACTTCAATACACACCTCAGCACACAGCTTAGCACACGCCTCAGCACACAGCTCAGCACACAGCTCAGCACAAAGCACACACCTCAGCACACAGCTTAGCACACACCTCAGCACACAGGTTAGCACACAGTTCAGCACACACCTCAGCACACAGCTCAGCACACACTTCAATACACACCTCAGCACACAGCACTCACCTCAGCACACAGCTTAGCATACACCTCAGCACACAGGTTAGCACACACCTCAATACACACCTCAGCACATACTTCAATACACACCTCAGCACACAGCTCAGCACCACCTCAACACACAGCACAGACCTCAGCACACAGCTCAGCACACAGCTCAGTACACAGTTCAGCACACAGGTTAGCATACAGCTCAGCACAGACCTCAGCACACACCTCAGCATACACCTCAGCACACAGCTCAGCACAAACTCAGCACACAGGTTAGCCCACAGCTCAGCACACAGCTCAGCACACACCTCAGCACACAGCACACACCTCAGCACACAGCTTAGCATATACCTCAGCACACAGGTTAGCACACACCTCAATACACACCTCAGCACACACTTCAATACACACCTCAGCACACAGCACATACCTCAGCACACAGCTCAGCACACAGCTCAATACACAGCTCAGCACACAGATTAGCATACAGCTCAGCACAGACCTTAGCACACAGCTCAGCACACACTTCAATACACACCTCAACACACAGCACAGATCTCAGCACACAGCTCAGTACGCAGCTCAGCACAGACCTTAGCACACAGCTCAGCACACACCTCAACACACACCTCAACACACAGCACAGATCTCAGCACACAGCTCAGTACGCAGCTCAGCACAGACTTTAGCACACAGCTCAGCACACACTTCAATACACACTTCAGCACACAGCTCAGCACACACATCAACACACAGCACAGACCTCAGCACACACCTCAGCACACACCTCAGCACACAGCTGGGTTGGGGCCTCCTGAGACAAGCACGTTGCCTTCACGCCCCCCCTTCCCCATCCCCCACCCCCTTCCCAATGCCAGCCTGGCTCATCAGCACCCGGAGGACGCCAGTCAGTGGCAGCCCTGGGGGTCACCCCTTGCCTGGCCCACCCCTTCCTCCTGGGCTGGGGAAGCCTCCTGGGAAGCAGGTGGCCCTGCCGCTCCTGGGCCCTAGCCAGGGGCCTGGAGGATGACAGAGGCGCTGTCAGCCAGTGAGTCAGTCCATGTTCAAACTGGGCCTGGGGAGGGCGGGGTGGGCGGGATGAAGCCAGGATGGGGCGCTTCCCCCTGGCAGAGCCTGGGCACGGGAACCAATGGCCTTCAAATCCCAGGACACCAGCTGGCCGCGCTGCTGGGGAGACTGGCCCTGCCTCCTGGGGAGGCGCCCGCGGGGTCTCCTCCCTCCTGCGGGTGAGGGGAGGGCGCGGGACCTGGAGTCCTCTGGTTCTAGGGCCGCTGGGGCATGGGGGGCGGTCCCTCCCAGGACCCAGCCCCGCCTCCTCAGGGCAGGGCTGGCAGTCCAGGTATGTGGGACCCCTCCCCAACACCTCGCTCCTTCGCACTCCCCTCTCTCTGACGTCACGCTCCTCGCGCGGCATGATGGGAGAATCCTAATGTTTTCCAACAGATGCTCCAAGAACAGCTTTCAGATTAAAGCAATTGCAATAGCAAAGATTCTTCATTTTCCCCTTCTCACTGGGGGGTGGGGTGGGGTGGGGTGGGGGGAGGGAGCGCCCTTAAAAATTCTGGACGTCACCCCGGCCCCAAGCAGGCACGAAACACTGACAAGAAAAAGTTTTTATTTCCTGGTTCAACTTTTTTTTTTTTTTTTCCTGGAATACAGACCGAAGAATGGGAATAAACGCGAATAAATAACCGCGCGAGGCCGCGCGCAGGGATGCGCCTGGCTGCGGCCTCGAGGCTATTGTCTGGTGGCCCCGGCGCGGTCCTCCGGCTCCTTCCCTCTCCGGGGCCTGTTTCCTTTTGCTTTTCAAAAAGACGCCCCTCCGGCCCCCTCGGCAGTGACCTTGGCCGCCTCGGATGCTCTGACTCCCGGCGGCTCCTCCAGCGCGCCCTGCGCCCGGGCCATGGCCGCGTCCGAGGACGGGAGCGGCTGCCCCGGGGCGCGGGGCCGCTCGCAGAGTGACCCCAGCGCCCTCGCAGACACCGCAGCCGCCGCCGCCGCCGACACCGCCGCCGCCGGGGAGAGCCCAGGTAACCGGGCGGGGCGGGGGAGGGAGGCCTGGGCGGCGGCGAAGCGCGCCCGCCCCGCGCGCCCCGCGCCCCGCGCCCCCAGCACTGCCCCGCGCCCCCAGCACTGCCCCGCGCCCCGCGCCCCGCGCCCCCGGCACTGCCCCGCGCCCCCGGCACTGCCCCGCGCCCCTGGCACTGCCCCGCGCCCCGCGCCCCGCGCCCGCCTGCATTGGGAGCCCTGCGGACCCGGCGCCCAGGCTCCGCGAGTCGCACCCCCTGTCACGCGGCGGGGGCGCCGCGGAGCCCTTTGTCCAAAAAGAGGAGGTTTCGCAGGGAGAGCCGGGGCTCCTGGGCCTCCTCGCCGGCTGGTGGGGGCGTGGGCCTCCCGGGCTTCCCTGCCCGGTGCCGGCCTGGGGACGCGGACCTGAGCCCGGTGCCGGCCGGGGGACGCGGACCTGAGCCCGGTGCCGGCCTGGGGACGCGGACCTGAGCCCGGTGCCGGCCTGGGGACGCGGACCCCAGCCGACTCCGCCGCCCAGCCAGGCGCTGCCCCTCCCCCGCCGGGCCTGGTGCCGGCCCCGCCCTGCAGGCCGCTCCCGGGCCGCGGAGGGGCTTCCTGGGCGCCCAGCCAGAGTGGCCGGGCACAGGCACTGCCCCCTCCCGGGCAGGTGTGCGCCAGGGTGGCCAGTGGGAGCCGGAGGGGGCGTGCGCCCAGACAGAGCCCGGGTCAGTGAATTACAGGGACCTGGTCCTCTCCCCTCCTCTCCCCTCCTGGGCAGCCTGGATGGTGTAGGTGATAAATCCGGCCACAAAGGCGGCTGTGTGTCCTGATTGATTACTTTCCAGAGAGGAAGAAAGGCCTAATAAAGCAGGAGGGGGGTGGGCTCTGCACGCCGGTCGCCATGGAGACTCAGGAAGCAAAGTGATCATTAAAACCTTTCTCCACCAGAAGGCAATTTTCACTTCACAGGCAGAAGTCTGAGCTGAAGCGCAGGCTCAAAAAAGAACCAGAGCCTGTGCTCTGGAGGCGGCACAGGACCCCGTTCCCTCTCAGACCCGTGCCATCCTTCCAGGTGCTGTTTGGACAATAAGATGCCCGGCCTTCCCTGGAAGGGCTTTCTCTCTAAATGATGACCCGGATGGGGACTCCATGGTGATCGATACACGGTGGGCATCCAAGTCAAGCCCATCCCTGGGGCCGGGTGGGCCTGGCTCCGGGGCAGTCCCTCCGCTGGAACAGAGGGGCTTTCCTGTCTGACCGCAAAGAAAGACCCATTAAGGGCAGCCCTGTGGGCACCAGAGCCCCATTTGAAATTTTAAACAATAAACCCATTCAAGGCTTGTGCAATTTCTTTGTTAGGCTATTGACGCTGTATCATCCAGTCAAACTAAGGTACCGGGCAGAGGAAATCCCTGGCTTTTCTCGGCCTGGGAGGCCAAGTTCATTCCCATGGAGTTTCAAGCAGAGGCTGCCAGGGCTGACCCTGAAGGCTTCATTAGCGCTTTGATTAGGAGCTGGGATTAAGCCCTCAGCGCTCCGAGGTGGGGTGGTGTTTCTCTGCAGCCCGTGCCGAGCCATGATCATTCCGATTATGGAAGTTGGTAGCTCATCACGAGAGAATCCTTCCCGGCTCCTTTTGTCTCCCTGGCAGCCAGAGGAAGCAAACTTGAAACGGAAAAGATGGAGGGTTTGGCTTTTTGACTGTCTGGAGGGGATGCCTCTGTCCGTGGGAATGGGGGGCTCGCGGGGAGAGCCGGGCAGGTCGCAGATGCCTGTCCACCAGGAGAGAGGCCGACGGGGCGTGGGTGCCCTTGGCCAAATGCTGCCAGGGCCGGGAGAGTCACCTGAGTTCATCTGTGGGCCAGTGCTGAGCCCCGGGCCAGCGGGCGGATCGGAGGTGTCAGTGTGGCTGTGTCACTCTGTGAGCGGTGGGACCCTCCTAACCAGCAGCCAGCAGTGAGGTTCTCGGGGACGTGTTAAGCGGAGGGGTTCTGGGGAAAGGGAGTCAGAATCCTCAGGTGGAAAGTTACCTGGATGCTTACAGCAGGAGCAGTGGGCGAGGGGAGCGTTTTCCACCACCGCCTTGCCCTGTTGGCGTGGCATATGCCTTTGGGTGGGCACTCACTTCCTTCTGATGCACCGCATGCTTCTCTTTGGGCGTCGAGTTCAAGGTTCTTCTTCAAATGGCTCGGAAGAGGCTGCTGCCCACCAGTCCCGAGGGGACCCTGTCCTGCTGTGTTACTGGGGCTTTCGGAGAGTGCGGTGTTTGGGGCCAGTATGGCCCACCCTGAGGCATCTTGTCACTAGGCTGGAAAGCCTGTCCCTCACCCTGCTCTCCCTGAGGGACCTCTTTACTGTCCGCCTGCTGCTCTGAGGGCTGCTCCTGACGCTGAAGCCCGTGCCCGCTGTGGGCTCTCCTGGCACCATGTCAGGTCGCACCCTCCCATCTATGATTTTCTAGTGTGTAAACCAGCCCGCAGTGGCGCTTCTCTGTGCCCCAGATGCATTTTTGAGCATCGATATCGCTTAGTGAAATCTTAGAACACTGTCAGGGGTGAGCGGTGACACCCCTTTCTCTCCCCAGGGGCGATGCCTGGGGGGAAGGAGCTGTCCTGCACCTGTCACAGGCCAGAGCCACCTGCTCTGGGAAAAGGCGTGTCATGAACCTCAGGCTCCAGTGCAGGCACCGGGCTCCTCAGCTGGAGAGCCTGCTCCCCTCTGGATGGTGGAGCTCGTACCTCGTGCCACTTCTCCACCTTCTTCTCTCGTTCAGTAGCCACCTGTGGCCCAAGGACTGTGCTGCTTTCGCCGTTTAGCTAGTAGACATTTGCACTGTGTTTAGTTTTACCCACAACAAGCAACAAGGTGGCGGTTACCCAGGCGAGCTTCCTTGTGCTCACCTGTGAGTGTCCTCCAGGGCAGGTCCCGGCGGGTGGGAGTGCTCACCTGTGAGTGTCCTCCAGGGCAGGATCCGGCGGGTGGGAGTGCTCACCTGTGAGTGTCCTCCAGGGCAGGTCCCGGCGGTGGGAGTGCTCACCTGTGAGTGTCCTCCAGGGCAGGTCCCGGCGGTGGGAGTGCTCACCTGTGAGTGTCCTCCAGGGCAGGGCCCGGCGGGTGGGAGTTCTAGGTCTGCTCAGCGTGTGAAATGCTACCTTGGGGAGAAGACCTGCAGTGTGGGAACAGAGGAAGGGCTTACGGGAAGAGCCTTGTAGAGACGCAGACATGTGTTATTTCTGTGATGCGGCATCCTTCTGGAAAAGGTACCCATTGGAACTCCTTCCAGAATCTCAGAGGGCACTTTCTCCAAAGCTTCGCCAACACCAGGAGTCATTGATCTGGTTTTTCTTGCACAAAAAGTGACAAACGCTGTCTCGTTGTGGAAATTTGTGGCTCCTTGGTTGCCGGTGAGCCGGAGCATCTCTGTGGCCGTATTATTATTATCACTGAATCTCTCAGGGGCCGCAGACTGAGTGGCAGGCAGGAGGGATGTCCCCGAGGGCCAACCTTCACTCTACATCACGGCTCCATTAACCACTGTCTGCGTCTCTACAAGGCTCTTCCCCGTCAGCCCCACCTCTTCCCACACTGCAGGTCTTCTCCCCGAGGTAGCATTTCACATGCTGAGCAGCGTCTCCACACCCTCTCCTTCAGAGGGGCTCCTGCCCACCAGGGGTATGGCTTCCCCTCCCCGAGTGTCTCCATGGCCCCGGGAAGGCTGCCTGTGCCTCCACAGCCGGTGGCCTGCCCTGGCCGGGGCCCAGCACAGAGAGGGCGGTCTGTGACCTCCTTCTAGTCCAATCCCCTGCCATCTTCTCAGCCTCCTCCATCTTATTCCCTAACTGCCTGGCCCTGGCTTTGGTCCACTGCTCTGTCCCTCTCCCTGCCTATCCGGTGCCTTGGCCTCCACTGCCATCTCCCTCCCTGGCTGTCTCCTTGGTTCCGGATGCCGAGACTAGGGACTGGGCCAGGGGTCACCTGAGATAGGGTTCAGAACATTTCCGCATGGCCTTCCCTTTGCCTTTTTAAAGATTCTACTCAGGAGGGACTGATGTACAAGCAGGTGGGGGAGCCTTGCTCTTGTCCGGGGTAGAGTCTTCACCTCAGCACCGCTGAGGGGCATCCGTGCACTTGGGGTGTCAGCAGCATCCGTGGCGTCTATCCACTACATGATGGTAGCACCCGCGCCCCTAGTTGTGACAACCAAGAATGTCATCGGACATTGCCAAGTGTCCCCTGGGGCTGACATGGATCATTCATTGTCACCTGTGAGGCTTGGCGGCCATGCCCAGTGTTCCTGACCCAACTTGTGCGGGGTGAAGGCGGAGGGTGGGGGAGAGTCTGATAATGTGCATTTCCAACAAGTCACCAGGTGATGCCGAAGGGGCTGGTCAGGTGACCACACGGAGCCCACAGCTATGGTCTTAGACTCTTCTGACAACTTCTGTGTCTGTGTGTCCCTGCGAGTCCCCCCGACCTACCTGGCTTCTGTTCTCCAGACCTCGGTGTCCTGCCTTTCCCTTCTCCTCCTGCAGGTCTTGGGCCCACGTCACCTCAGAAGGCCCTCTTGTTCACCTGATTGGATTCCAGCAGCTGCCCCGCCCCAGCCGGCCCTGCCCCTGCCCCAGTTCAGATTTGCCCATGGCACTCATCCTGGCCCAGGGTCCTGGTCTCTCCCATTCTCTATGTACTGTCCCCTCTTGGCCCAGAGCCCCGCCCAGACCTCACACGCAGGAACCCTCAGTGAGCATATGGGGAAGGAGCGAACAGGGACAAGCAGCAAACAGACGCCAGGCTCCAGCTGACAGGTGTGGGGCTGGCCGGGCGCTGGGCCCTCCTGCCAACCAGACTGGTCTCAGTGGACAAGCCGCTAAGTGACAGCCAGCCCCCTTCCTGCAGGGACAGTCCAACCCCAAGCTGGGGACACCCGCTCAGAGCACCGCTGTCCTCCCAGCCGCAGGCAGACACGGACACATGGCCACTCCAGGGCGACTCCCGGTCCCAGGCAGGTCCCTTCCTTGTC